TATAAATATATCATTCAAAGATAATAAAAAATGCAATATAGCACTATTTCCTATAAATTTATATGGTTTTTGTTTTATTATTATACCTTAAGTTGTTTTGTTCAAACTTATAATTAGTTTTACATATCTATAATCAATAGACACATGTGTTTAAACAATTGACACGTGTCCTAAGAGTGTCCAAAGAGTGTCGGTGTCCGACACAGACACGACACGGATACGTCACCTTCTTAGAAGTGTCCGTGCTTCTTAGCTCCATGCTATACTTCAAACTGTTGTTCATGTGCCATCTGTAACTTGTTGGAGTGGTTCAGTTTTCATGGGATGCCAAGTAATCATTGTGTGGAAGAAAAGATGTCTGCTTCTCTCTCTCATTCGTCCTTGAGCACTAGTTGAACTTATATGGATCCCTAGATTATAATGTTGGTATAAATTTCAAATGCTCAAGATGCCTCTTTCTTGTTCCTATGCTGTTTTGGCTTCCCCTGCAGACCCATAATGAGTTGTGTTTACATAAACACTACAATTTTCATTGTCATGTCAATGAGATACATAATAACTGCAGCAATAACCTATCATTTGATATACGGTTAAGATGTCTATGAAATAGTGGGAGGACACAAAATCTTATAAACGGTTAATATCTGTGCGGATATTTGGGGATTGGTTCCTGAATATAAGCATCCCAAAAAGACACCTACTCATGTTCACACAGCATACTTCAAAGTTACTCAGTATGAAGTATCTTGTTTCTGCAAGCTAACTGCTACCCAAAGATTTTCCCACAGGTTCAAACCTCCTGCTTTCCCACTCAACCCCCATCCTATTCTACTAGAAAGCTCTTAGATTTATATGTTTGTTGGGGCATAGATAAACACTTGGTGTGAATTACTTCAGGATGCACTTGTTAGCCAGCTTAAACAGAGAATAGCATTTTTTGCAAGAACATTGCCATGGTTGTTTTGATCAGATTTGGACCAGGTAGTGATGAATTGTAATCTGGTCTGTTAAGAAATAAGTATGATCTGATGCAATCCAGTTATCCGACGGACAATTTTCATGTACATTGTCAATATTCACTGGCAACAGACACGGCTAGTTCTGCCATTATTAATCATTGAGAGAAGAGGAATAATGCAATGAAACCCAGGTCTAAGTTTCAGCCATTGTCTTCTTTGGTCTTACATCTCAAAATTTTACCATGTCCTTCACAAGGGCCTCAATAATTGATAGCAAAGAAACCTAGAGATGGAATAAATGAATTCAAGAGGTATCTAATATTTCAGAAGCCCATTGCTGGCATGAAAGTCATGCTTAATTTGTATATATTTTGAAACCCTTGCAAATAATAAGGGAGGAGAGAGAGTGGTGGCAATGCCACACATGTTAAAATTTTAGAGAGGTAGCAGAATTTAACGTGATTGAGAAATAGATAAGTGATTTAGGAAACAATGGAACCCTATGATGCATGGACCATTTGATCTTTCATGATTAATAATGGGTCAAGATTTTTCATACCTTTTGTTGGGTTTATATGTTATAAACCATTTTTCTGTTCTTATTTGATTTTTGACGGATTGGATCGACCAAATCCAGTACCTTTTAAGCACACAAATCACATGGCTTGGATCATTATTGGGTAAAAAATCAGAACAACCCAACTAAATCTGACAAATCGAATCAGAATCCGACCCATTGGCAAGCTTCCTTGCTTGAATTTGCTAGATGATGTTATAATTTTGAATTTTATTAGATGTTTAATGTTAGACATTTTTGTTGGATCTGCTCATATACAATAATAATTTGTGAAGTGCCTTCCTTATTTCTGTAATGATGTCCCCTTGCATATAGGTTGAATTAGAATTTTGCAGAAGAAAAATATGATATGTGCTTAGAGAAAAAAATTGCTAATCTGTTAGAAATTTATGTCCTTGTTCTAAACATGATCTGGTAAAACTAGTGACTCTTCCATGAACCGATAAACTTAGTTTTGAAAGTTAATTAAATTGATTATCTTTCCACTTCTCTCTTGGTATCAGTTGCTCAGTTTTGTTTTATTAATTATTTGTTGGTTTGTTTTCAATGAAGATGCCAATTAGGTAAACACACTACTGAAAAACCGGTGTTAGCAAAGCCAGCTGCTACTCCAAAACCAGTTCCCAAGGCAACTCCTGCAACTGATGTGTCGTCAAAAGATGCTTGCTCTAGGTGCCGCCAAGGATTCTTTTGCTCAGAACATGGTATTCTTCTTGTTTGTATTATTTTAGCTTTAGTAAGTTGGTGACAGTGAATCCTGTGTGTCAACTCCTCCCCAACCCCCCTGCACAGGTTTGCCATATTAAAACATATTAGCTCAATGTTTCATGGGAGCGAAAGCATTCAGGTTGATTTTCCATATAATTTCCAGTAATTAATGTCTTTCAAAATACAAATCACTTCCATAACATTGGACTCGTCAATGAGTCAAAACATAAAATGAGGATGTATATCCTTTGCTAAATCCTAAAGAGACGGTTTTTTATGTGGGAAATATAATCATGTCAAATGTAATGTGGAATGTTCTGTATGATTTTAGATGATATTGAATGTGCTGGAGTAATCTTCGTCTCCTTCATTTTTGTGACTTTTTGTTTGCTGGGAGAATGAGGTGGTAAAGTTTGAATCTTTTGTTTTTTATCCAACTGTTTCTTTGTTATCAGGAAAAGGAAATGTTCTCTATTCTATTTGTCTTTAGGAAGTATAATATAAAAGTTAACAAGGCCACAATAGCTTAGTGTTTTCAGCTGAGTCCTGAGTGTTTTAGTTTTCTCAGGTCCCAAATAACTCAAGTTATGGCTGTGTTTGGATCTTGGATTTGTAGAGCATAAACTAAAAAAGGAAGGGAAAAGTGAATGAAAGGAAAGTTTTTTATTTTATTTTTTTCTTTCACAAATCCCTTCCATTTCGTTTCCCTCCACATGCTAACTTCCATTCTTTACCTTGTTCTTCATCCTTCTAATGTGCAGGAAGCTTTATTATTTTTGTATGCTAAACTAGCTTTTATTTTCTAGGTTCACAAGTCAAAGTAATGAATCCAAATCCACCAAGTGCTGTAACAGTTAGCCCTGCTGAAAGCAATACAAGTGTACAGGAAGGCCTTTCTGCTCCAGCAAAGAAGATGGTAGATATAAATGAACCCCAAACCTGTAGAAATAAGGGATGTGGTAAAACTTTTAAAGAAAAAGATAATCATGACACTGCTTGCAGTTACCATCCTGGGCCTGCCGTCTTCCATGATCGGATGAGAGGGGTGAGAATATGCATATGTTGCATTTCCTATAAGTTTTTGTGATAAATTTACCAATGTGCATATGCTGCGTTTTGTATCAGTTTTTGTGATCAATTTACTAATGCATTGACACAGACGCAGCACGCAGCACGGACATGACACAAACATGCTGACACATAAATTGTCAAAAAATATAGGACATACGCAAAATATATAATTTTATTTTTTTAATTATTTATCATATATAAGGATAAACAATTATTATATGTAATATATATAAATATTTAATTCCAAGATAATAACAAAATACTTTATAAAACAATTTTTTGAAACTTATAGGAGGAGAATAATTTTTTTAGTATAAACTTACATTATTTTCCTTTTATCATTGGAATCCAAGTTAGTTTATTTATAATTGTAGTGTGTTTTATGTGTCTAAGTTAATGGACACAGTTTTCCAAGTGTCTAAAGCATATCTGAGCTCAGAAAAGTTTAAAAAACATAATAGATCATGTTTGGATGCTTGTTTGACAGGTGTAAAGAAGTGTTGGTGTCAACAAGGTGTCCGACATGACACGCCACCTTTATAGAAGTGTTTGTGCTTCTTAGACTAAATGTCTCCTGTATTTCAAACTTATGGCTGGTTGTTTTAAATTTTTGCAGTGGAAATGCTGTGACATTCATGTGAAGGAATTCGATGAGTTCATGACAATTCCGACTTGCACCAAGGGATGGCACAATGCCGATCCAGCGTCATAAGAAGCAGAAACTAAAGTACGATGCATTTCTTTCGTTACTCCTCAATTTGGGTTGTCAGAGTTGGTTTTGTGCTGCAGCAATTCATTATAATTGACATGTTCCATTGTTATCAACTATTCCAACCATTCACATTGAAGAAATGAAACCATGATAGGTCCTTGTACTTTACCCTTTGAATTTTAACACGATCTGGTATGGTTATTTTACGCTTTCAAGGACTGTTTGTAGTGTCATGAAGATTACAGTAATGAGTTATTAGGTCTTGGTTACTTTTTAAAACTTCCAGACCTTTTTGTTTTTTCTCTTATCTCTTCTTCTGTTTTGAAATGTTTGCAAGCGATATTATCATGCAGGTGATTGATGATTTTCCAGTCTCATCGTTTTGTGACTAGTTTGATAACTATTGTGATGATGAAGTTTTTACAAGTGTTATGGCGGTTTCATTGGGTCATGAAATGGCTATGGTGGTTGACAGGTTGCACTGGTAGTGTGGTGGTGGTGATGATCGTGGTTGGGATGCGGTTATGGTGAAAGTGGCCTGTAGGTTAGGATGGGGAGCTGATAGGCTCTCTTATTTTGACAATGACCATTATGTAATTGCAATAGGATTTTCTAATTTTTGTAGTTTTTCACCAATCAATTTCAGTATTTTCATCTAAATTAAGCTTCAATGAATTTCAGGGTGAAAATCACTGCAAAAATAGAAGGTTGAGCTCGACTAAATAATTAGAGCAACTGTAACATGAATAGGCATTTTGTTTAAAAATGTAATGTATTTTGTATAATATGTACATCAAAAATATTATTTATTCCTGAAATTGATGTGCGTAGCCTCTAAGACTCCAAATAATACTAGCCAAGAGAGTCTTGAAATAATACTAGCAAAGAGAGGATGAGGTAAAATGATTATTGTGTTGCCTATCTTGTTAGAACTCGGGATTTAGCAATTTATTTTTATTTTTTTTCGATTTTGTTGGAGATGCTTTTACAAGGATTCAAGTTATTATTGATTTATTTATTTTTCGTTTATAGAAATCAAGAGAACTATGCACAAGTGAAATAAAGTCGCTATGTACCTCACTTCAATTACTTAAATTGGATTTTTTTTTTTTTTTGAATCAAATTCGCCTTGATCTTGTGTCTCTTTCGGCATTGCTCTTGGCTTTGTTTTTATTGGTAATGCAAGCTTTATCGGATGGCTTTGCTCATCTTGAAAATCAAGGAATATGTAAAGGGATGGCTATCTGTAGACAAGCCCCCCCTCGTAAATCATCTCCTATTTGCAGATGACTGTTTCATTTTTCAAACCTTTGAGTTATCCCATGTATGGTGTTTACAATGGTTCTTGAATGCTTTTTGCTCACAAACAGGGCTTTGTATAAACTTTCAAATATCGGAAATTTTCTCGAGCCCAAATATGTTGGAATTTGACAAATAGAGTCTACAATCAATTTTGTGTGTTAAAGTTGGGAATCATTCGGGCATTTATTTAGGAGCCAACTTGGGTTTTACGGGCCGATCAAAAGGAGTTATTTTCAATTCAATTTTAGAAAAAATAACTAAACTCCAAGGGTGAAAATGTAAGATGTTAAACTTTGCAGGGAGAGGGGTTTTGGTTAGACATGTGTTACATTCGATGCCGGAGTATTTAATGTCGGTATTCTGAATGCCAAATTCCTTTTTGAACAAACTTTCTAACATAATCAGAAATTTCCTATGAAAGTCCAATGGTGAATCTATTGAAAAAAATGGATGCATTTATGCTTCCCAAAAGATTGGAGTGGATTGGGTTTTAGGGATTTAACGTGTTTCAATCAAGCTCTACTTGCAAAGCAGGCGTGGAGGTTGATTTCTAATCCAAATGAGTTATTGACACGGGTCTTATTGAGTAAGTACTGTCATAGACAATCTCTCTTTCATGTTACTTTGAGCTCCATTGCTTCTTCGGGGTGGCAAAGTATCATATGGGGTAGGGATCTACTGAAGTCGGGTCTTTATTGGGTAATGGGAAATGGGCAACAAATTCGGCCTTTTGTAGATCAATGGATTCCATCTATGCTCAATCCCTTGCGAGGAAAGGAAATTACTAGACTTCTTCCGGATATGCGGGTTAAACATTTTATTGACTGGGATCACGGCTGTTGGAGAGAAAATTTGCTACGATTGTTCTTCCCAGTAGCTTGTTCTCGTGCTATTATGTCGATTCACATACCCAATTATCCTTGTGAAGACAAACTAGTTTGGAGTCCAGTTAAAAATGGTGTTTATTCTGTAAAATCTAGGTATAAACAAGCCTTGATTCGTACTTACCCTATGTTTTATAGGACTTGTTCTACTCAACGGGTATGAAAGAAGTTATGGAAATTAGGTTTACCTCCAAAATGAACTGTCTTCATTTGGAAATGTCTTCACCAAATTCTTCCTGTACAATGGGAATTAAAAAAACATGGAGTCCAAGTTAGCACTAGATTCGCCCGATGTCACAATGTTGAGGAGACAATTGAACATGTATTTTTTGACGGTGAGTGGGCACAAAGAGTATGAAGGGGCTCACCTTTGGGTCTGGATTTTCGAATTGGTGTACCAATATCTTTTTTTCAATGGTTTTCTGGTTGGATTGAACAAGTTCATGACACTCAAATAGTTATCCAATCGGTTGCCATTCTATGGGCCATTTGGTTACAAAGAAATCAGGTGGTTTTCCAGCACATTGTCCCGAATGTTGAGAACACCTTAGAGGAAGCCAGGAAACTCTTTCATATGTCCTCATGTCTTAATAAAATAGATAATGGCACTTGCTCTACTTCTGAAAATAATCAAGGCACTAATACCTCTAACTTTTGTATTTTGTAGAATGTTATAAACACCCGCAGTGCTTTTGATGCTTGGCACTTTGTCATAGATGGCTCATGGAAATCACCAACCGATCACGCAGGAATTGCGTGGATTTGCTTGGACAACCAGCAGTAGTTGATTAAAATGCAGGTTGTGGTGAAACCATGGTTATCACATGCCTTGCTAGCTGAAGCGCATGCGTGTTTAGATGCCATCCGATGGGCTATACAATGAGATTTGAAACATATAAATGTGTACACAGACTGTCAGGTCTTGGTTCACATGTTTCAACATCATCGATGTCCGGAGGATTGACATGTTATTACTCTTGTTCAAGATATTCTACCTTATGCAAAATGTTTGAATTATGTTTGTATTTGTAAAGTTGACAGAAATGTTATTCAGCCAGCACATAATCTGGCCAAAAATGTAACTTTTAATACTTAAGGTATAATGTATGGATGGTTGGTTCGT